TACATCAATGGAGTTTGAGTGTTAACTCCAGCAATAAACAAAAAAAATAGAAGAAATTACAAAAGAAGCAAGGAATGTGCCTGACCTAGACAATAGAGAGGTGTTATTTGAGCCTGAAAGGAAAAACAACAATTGAATACACATTGACACCCATATACAAGAGCGATGCTATATTTGGATAATGGATGTAAGAGTGGCGCTCACAAGTTCTAGAGTGGTGCATTTTCTACAATCATAAACAACTACACCAAACAAGTTGTAAGATCGTGATGTGCCTTAGGTCAAGATCGAGGTGATTCTACAATTCCATAAATTTTTTAAATAATGTAAAACACGTTTAGTCATTAAGGTTCAAAGTTTTTTATGAGAAAGAAGGCCTATTCTGAGGAAACATCATTATAGAATTGTTCATAATCGTTTGTGCGACTAATATCTTTCTTTATTTGTAATTGCCATGAATCCCTTAAGAGTGAGTGATTAATTCCTTTAGATTAAGTTCCTGTTAGATGAATTTTCCTGTAATAATGTGAACTATGTGATTTGTTTAAATTTTCTCTCTGTAAGAAATTCTTCTTATAGTAATTCAATGTTATTTATGTTTAAAGTTTTTTTTCCATCTACAAAATTGAGAGAATTTATCAAGATAATTTTGCGAACGAACGATTGATTTACATGTTGGAATTAATTAACGTTGTGGAGATGTTTATGATTGCTAAGCATAAAACATAATCGGTCAAGACACAAGATAATAGGTATTTTACATGGGATAAAGGGGATCGTATTCTAAAGTAGTAAATTTCTCTCATGTCAATGGAGATTGTATTCTGACGAAGCGAAATTATTTACAATGAATTATTTTGGTAACTGTACTTTGTAAAATCATTGTTATTTAAGAATACTCATAATAATTTTCACTACAAAAAATTGCATAAATTGTAACGATTTAGTTACAGCGATTATTTATGATAAATTATGACGGTCATAATATTAAATTCATAGCGGCTGTTATAACCGCCATTTTTTACATTTTAAATATTAATATATAAAATTCGCATGAGCGCATTAAGTTTTCACTTTTCATTCCTAATTAAAAATTTATTATGTTTTACCCCTTTTCTCTTTCCAATTTTTAATCATAATTATTAAAAACCTAATTAGAAAAAAACCACCGAACCCTTCTTTTCCTCATTCACGTTTTTTCTTTTCCCAAATTTCAACCTCTTATCCACTCTCTCATATTCACTCATTATCTTTCGATTAAAGCTTCATCACCATTTCCGTGGCATCTTCTCTCCTCACGATCCAAGCTCTTCTCTCCTTCCTCCGTCACGTTTCTCAATCGAAGCCCAATCATAAAATTCGTTGAAGATTGAACCCTAAAAAATATTTGAAGTTTGAATCACGCCTAATCGATATGAATACTGATATTAAACCCTAGAAATCAACACTAGCAATCGCAGAACCATGATCTTCAATCCGATTTGTCGCAGTTCTGCAATCGGACGCTTCTCCGCTTCGTTGCTCTTCTTCAAAGGTTGATTTCAAGGTAAAATCACGGTTTATCTTTTTTATGGGGGAAGACTTAGAAATTAGTAGTAGGTTTTCTAAGAAATTAGTAGTAGATTTGGCGCTATATGATATTGTTTCTTTGTTAAGAAAGCACAATAAATCTTGGATGAGGCTTATTAAAAATGTGATATGAAAGATTTATTCAACGTAATGGTTTCTACATTTTAGAATACAACTTACTTCTTTATCATTTTTTCATAGTCCTTTAATATGTTAACACAATTTATTTCTTAATAATAAACGATATATTTTTCAATCACAATTATGTTATTTAAATATGATGTTATATTTGGAATTCTGGATGATTTTTTTCATCCTTACACAAAAATCAAGAAAATTTTAATAGTGAATGAAATTTTAGTTCAACTCCTGCAATTTCTTTTAATTTTTTATCGTTCCTTTGAATTTTAGTCTTTTAGCCTTTATGATTTATTTCACCCTTATTTTTGGCCACGCTACGACCAGAATAAAGTCCCTTTAATCTTTGTGTGCATGTAATTCAAGAGTGTGGATATTACAATCTTTTCAAGTTTATGGTAGTGATAATTTTCATGATGTGCTTTGAGTGTAATCAGTTAACTCAAACACTCGAGAGTTGAAAGAATTTTATCTTCTGAGAATCTTATTGCTTATAATGTGATGTTTTGTAAACTGTCTTCTTACTTTCTTTGACTGTCAGGAAAAGTTACTCACTAACACTATATTACTTGAAGTTTAGAATGAGGATTTTACTTAACCTGTTGTGATCCCTAAAGTCTTTGAAAGTGCATGATTTGTTCTGTACTCTTGTTTTTACTCTATTTTGAATTTTGACTTTAGAATTTTTCTCTGAGTGTAAAAGTTTAGGTGTGAAGAAATTTGATCAATGTATTTTAATGCCCCACATTTTACTTTGTGCCAATGGATTTCTATGAATTGTTGCTTTTATTTAATTTCTTTTAGCATATTTCCTAAATTTAGTTTATTTATGCTTTTATTTAAATTTTATTTATTTATTTTCTGAATAAAAAGTAATTTGACACATTCTCGTTGTGCAAGTCGTAACCTGATCTAGGGGATGCCGTTTGATGCATTCTAATATGTGTTGGAAAGGTGAAAGGATAAGCTACTAGTTTCATGTTGAAGTCATAAGCCAATTCGAAGTACACAAGAGTTGAATAATTCGTTTTCATTTCAGACTTAAGAAAATAATTTATTTTGGGCCAGATTTATGTTTTATGGGTATGTTGCTGTTAGGGTCTGATTTCCTTTGTTTTATTTAAACAATTTTTGCAGCCTTAGAGCATTCATTCGATTTTTATAATATTAGAAAATATGACTTACAAATTCTCTGAATAACTAATCACCTAAGGTTGATCTATTGTTCGAGTTTCCACCGATACTTTCGATTGCTTAATTTGATTGCTATTGTTTATTTAATTCGATTGCTACTTATAGAATTAAATTGATCTATTTCAATTGATGCATTTTCTTTACCGTAATCGCGTTATCGTAGCTTTTTCGTTAATTCACATTTGATTAAGTCGTGTTTGCTTAATTCGCGTCTGCTTTTTCCGTTTTCTTAATTTGGAAATTAGGAACATATATCATATAGTATCAATTGTGCTTGTTGATTGTTTCTATAATCGAATAGGTAATAGAATCCGCTTAGGATTTTTGAATTATAAGAATTAATGATAAGTCGGAAAGCAAAACAGTAGATTAATTTGTTCATCATATTTGCTTTCAATTTGTTTATGTGCGATTGAAGTTTGAACTTTAAAAACCTCCTATTTTAGTAGATCGGTTAAAATTATCAAGAGTCCTTACGATATGACTCGAGTGTCGCTTCTGTTATACTACATGATTGTAACTTGTTTTGAACTGTGTGCGACATCAAATCATTTCTACAATTTAAAATACAATTTACTTCTTTATTATTTCATTCATCGTCCTTTAATATGTTAACACAATTTATTTCTTAATTATAAACGGTATAGTTTTCAATCACAATTACCTTATTTAAATATGAAGTTACATTCGGAACTGTGGATGATTTTTTTCATCCTTACATAAAAATAAAGAAAATTTGAATGCGATTCATGAAAATAAAGTAGTTAAGGAACTCATATAGCGACACTACGCAAAAGAACAGTTTCAATGGTAAGTCCTGGTCCAAAGCCAAATAAGACACCCCATTCAAGTCCTTCTCCTGTTGTCTTTAGTCCATTTTGAATCGATTTCTTTCTCATTTCATCTAAGATAAACAAAACACATGCACTTGACATGTTTCCATATTCACTAAGCACTTCTCTAGTAGCCTTCATCTTTTCTGGCTTCAATGCTAACCTTTGCTCCACTTGATCAAGAATTGCAGGTCCACCAGGGTGTGCAATCCAAAAGATTGAGTTGTAATCAGAAATTCCCAATGGTTGAAAAGCCTCTACTAATGCTTTATCAATGTTTTTTGAGACAATCGCGGGAACATCTTTAAGAAGGTGGAATGTTAGCCCTGCTTCACGAAGGTGTCCATCTATGGCTCCTTCACTATCTGGAGCAATTGTTTGTGCAGTCCAAACCATCTGAAATATAGGTTTTTCAATTTCTGGTACTGGATCAGAACCAACAATGAGTGCAGCAGCTCCGTCTCCAAATAATGCTTGTCCAACAAGACTATCCAAGTGAGTATCGCTTGGGCCACGAAATGTGACTGCTGTAACTTCAGAACAAACAATCAACACACGAGCACCTTTGTTGTTCTCAGCTAAGTCCTTGGCCAAACGAAGCACCGTGCCACCTGCAAAGCACCCTTGTTGGTACATCATAAACCTTTTCACATATGGCCGAAGACCTAACAGTTTGGTGAGTTGATAATCAGCTCCAGGCATGTCTACACCACTTGTAGTGCAAAAGATTAAGTGAGTAATCTTTGACTTTGGTTGCCCCCATTCTTTTATAGCTTTCACAGCAGCTTCTTTCCCTAGTCTAGGTACCTCTACCACCACCATGTCTTGCCTAACATCCAATGAAGGAGCCATGTATTCACAAACACTAGGGTTTTCTTTCAAAATCTCTTCTGTTAAATACATGTATCTCCTCTTGATCATGGATTTATCACCTGAAGTAGTTATAAAGAAATGAAATTAATTAGTACAACAATTAGTTAGGTAACACTAATGAAATGGAATATAAAATTAACACTTACACATGCGCTGGAATTTTTGTTTGAGTTCGGTTTTGTGCTCACTGTTTGTGATTCTAAAATAGAAATCAGGATATGTGGCTTGTTCAACACAGTTTGCTGGATTAGCAGTGCCAATGGCCAAAATAGTTGCAGGGCCTTCTGCCCTTTGAGCCTTGCGAATTTCAGAAACACTCACCATCTTGATCTTGATGTACTAAGTTTCAAAGCATGTGTTAGTAGTTTGCAGAATTTGTTGTAGAAAAGGAATATGATGATGAAGAGTGTCGTGGTGGAAAGATGTGTGGGGTGGGATGGTTTTATAGAAAGGATATTGGAAGGTAGCTCAACATCACGTGTTTCACTCAAACCTAAACATTATGAGAAGGTGAATTTTTATCTATTAAACTCAACAACCAATCAAGTGGGTACGTACCGATACAACGATGGGAGCCTAAGTCTGTTAACTCTCAACTTAATGACTTTGTCTTAAGAATTATTTTATAACCAAATCTGACCAGCATTTTGTATTATTTGTGAACTAAACTTTGGGAAACCACTTTACAAAAATACTTGTATTTGAATGAATAGCAATCTCAATATTACGATTACTCTTTTAATAAGCAATGCTTTATCTTATTCTTTTAACAACTTTATTATTTATTTTATTTTCACCAATTTTTTCTTTGATTTTTAGTGAAAGAAACGTTGATGTGTATGTTACAAATTGTTAGACTCTTTAGTTTTGTAACTCATATTAAATTATTAGAGAGTTAATGGATAATTATTAGAATTATTATATAATTAATTAAGAGTGTGTAGGTTTAGAATAAATATGAGAAGATATTAGAGAGATGATCATCGTGGAATTAGATAGGAAAATGGTCATTTTGGCATTTGGGAGGTGCAGACCCTCAAAGTTCTGCAATATCATTCTGTTTTAAAAGGGAGTTTCCCTATATCTTATTCTATATCAGTTGGTTTCTATCACAAATTAGCTCAAACGTTACTAAATGATGCTTACTTATGTTACGGTAAGTTTTCTTATACCCCGTCTTCAATCTCTATCATAAAATGAAAATCGGTCATCGTAAAACTATTTTTTTTTTGTAAGCAAGATATATTAAAGGAAGAACTAAGAATTCTCAAATCCGATTACAAAAAGCGAGACAACAGTTCAACAACAGAAAAATTACAATCCAATTGTAACTTAAGATAAATAAAACAAAAGGTTTTTGTTAAAGTCGTAAAAGTTACAATTGGGATGTGTAATATCTCCTATGAAGGACCATCTCCAAATCAAAACTTTAATGTTCCAAACCACATCTAAAACATTCCAATCGTCATTCCTAAAAATAATATTGTTCTGCAAAATCCTTAGATTCCAACTAAATAATCGATTTTTCATTTTTGCTATAAGCGGTTGCCACGTCAAAATTCTTCTGAGATTAGACCCAATAGGAATTCCAAGGAAAATGAAAGCTTTTTCTTTCAACCTGCAAGAAAAATAACAAACAGCTACCTCTAAGAAATAAGGATTAATGTTGATACCAATCAACTTACTTTTGTGGTAGTTGATCCAATCCTGATACTAACTCGAAACCTATCAACACTGACTTGATAGCCCAAACATGCTTCCAAATACCATCTTCCAACAACAAAGTATCATCCGTGAATTAAAGGATATCGATGGTACATTTACCATTAACATTAAAACCACTAAAATCCCCATTTTTCACTGCTTTCCTAACCAAATTCGACAATCCTTCCGCTACAAAAACAAAGAGAAAAGTAAATAGAGGATTTCCCTGCCTCAATCCCTTCTCAACTGTAAACTTCTTAGTCGGACTCTCGTTAACTAACACCAACATGTTGCTAGTGAAGATCGTCGCCTCCATCCATCTCATCCAAATCTCTCCAAACTCCATCTTCCTCGTCATGAATCTAAGGAAGCTCCAACTCACATTATTGTAAGCTTTTTCAAAATTGAATTTAAAGAGTAAATAACCCTTACCCTCTAATGTTTTTTGCACTAGAACCTATACATGCTCCTAAAGAAACTGAATCAGCTGATGTTGAAGCGGTAAAACAGCAAGCAAAAAGTAAGTATTTATTTAGTTTTATCATATCGTCTCCACATGGATTAGTGGTTACTGAATTTTCGTTCGACAAGTATCTCGTTAATGAGTTTGGATTAAAACGAGTTTGAAATAAATGCGGGAATTAAAACTATTAACAGAAAAATAATTCATTTTTTAGAGAGAAGAAACTTATCAGGCATGCATATAATCCACTCCTCACGAACTTAAACATATCAATCAGTTATACTCAACCTATAATACTCATTAATGTCATCACGTATCAACCACAACACCCACTATATCATCTCAGAGGCGATCTCTCAATCAACCTCAACAACACAGAAGACAATTGTGTTACTCGCGTCGACGATCTCTCAGCACAACACATCCAACACATAGGCATTAAGAACACACACCCAAGTGAATAATAGATCTAAATCCATCTCTAGAATCTAGATACTATTAGATAATCAACCTAGATAAGAATTCGAGCAGTATATGTCTATAGCAACCCAAACCCCAAACACAGAGTAAAAATCCAGGATAATAATCGACAAAGATTTGTAAAGTAAGCTTTATATAACGTCATGGGTGATAAATATATATGAGTTCAAAGTAAATACATATAGAAAACCCAACAAATAAAGAATACACAAAGAAGAAGAGAAATAAACCATAAATCTCCCGATTTGTCAGCGCCGATCGATGAGAAATCCACCTCGGATCATCCGTATGCAAGCTCAATTGTTGTTTTCTAAGCTAATATACTAAAGAATGAGTTTATGGAGTTGGGAGAACAAAAATACCCCCCCCCCCCCCAAAAAAAACCATAACCTAGAAATGAACGAGTATACCACACTAAGCAGGCCTGTCGCGCTAAGCGCGACTTCCTAAATTAACATGTTAAACCGTCTAAAATATCGCTAAGCGGGCTAATTACGCTTAGCGGGGTCAAAAACAACATCTCTTTTAGAACAGTAACAACACACCGCGCTAAGCGGACTCTCATGAACATAACTTCTCAAAATTGCATCTTTTATTCTGAAAACGCCTATCTGGAGTCGTGTCTTTGATGTCTTATTCTCCAATGCTCCAAATGTGCAACAAATAGCTACAAAACAAGTAAAATCTATCAAAAGGTACACAAATGAATCAAAAACACAAATATACACAAACTAAACGTATTTACAAACAAAGCGGGAAATTATTCAAAGAATTTTAACAAAAGAACCGATAAGTGCCACAAAACATATATACAAATTAACTATATTTTGGAACTTATCAAACTCTCCCCAACTTGAACGTGTTTGTCCTCAAACAAGGCCAAATAACTCAAAGAATAAAATTAACTAACCAAAGAATCACGAATCAACAGGTTTTTGAAACCTAGATCCTCCATCTTGCATTCTTTAGATACCTAATATCCTTAAACTTCCATTTTAGTATCATCAACAGAGTAACGGTTGATTAGAATGAGACTTAAACAAACCACGAGAACCACTTTTACGACGGTTAAGTGTCTAGAAATGTCAGTGTCAAAATATCAATCATCTTAGTTGAAGTTATAAGAAGGTATGATGAATAAGACAATTCACCTTTCCTTAGTATTAACAACTGCTTGGTTAATCCATGCTGAACTTGATCTTTGAGAAAGTAACCAAACATGTTAAGTTCAACTTTTCACAGAAGAAACATCTTCAGTGAAAGTATATGCCTTTAGCTTGAGCATTCTAATGTCTAGCACAATGTTGAGACCTTAAGATTGTCATCCTTGACTCAGCTTTCCTTTTGATAATAACAACCTTTTGTCACTTGAGTTTTCTCTTTTCCAGTTATAGCTGAAAATTGTATCCCTTTTAGCCTTCCGATCATCTTTCCACTTGAGGAACCTCCTCCAACAGAATTGAACTCACCTTACATACTTGATCATGATATCACGTTTTAAGGATGAATAGAGTCACTTCACCTTGCAAGATATAGATGGTAGACAATCCTTCATTCTCTTAAGACATAAGATCAGAAATAAACCACCTCATATTTCTTCATGGTTGATAACCCTCTTTATTCTAGATACACAAATCTTTGAATAAAATATCCAGCACATCATGATATAATTCTTCAAAACATAAAATCTTCATCAGAAGTCCACCTTCTAGTTAAACCAGTAATATCCTTGGAAAATTCATAATCAAGATCCATTTCCTAATTAAGCCAAGGAATAGAAAACTCATACAATTGTTCTTGAGATAAGTAGGCATTCTACTCCATAAAGATCCAAGGTCTTCACACTCATGGGAATGCTTAGACATTGATTGACCTATCCTCCAGTTCCATCCTTTTTCTTTAGCATCATAGACATCCTGAAGTAAGTAAAGATGTTCTTAACATTTGGTCTAGACATCTTGTCCAATTTCTTTAACACCTGGTTGGATTGCCTTCCAAGGAACACAATAGTAGTAAGAAACCTTACATTAGAGATCAAGTCACAAATTCCCAAAAGTTGGAAACAAAAAGAATGCTCTTGTTGTTCTTCAATGACTTGTCACTTTCATGTCAAACCACTTGATTAGAAACTTGAGAAACCTTATTCTTGATCATCCTCACATCTGAATTCTTTTCTTCAAAACACACTTAAATGTGCCTTTATGAGTGGACTTGAGAAATTACCAAGTATCTTTGGCTAAAACGCAAGTGATGCAAAGAATATATCAATTTCATAGACCATGAAGTTGATAATTTCAGAGTGACAAAGAGCCAACGAAAACTCTTCCATTCTATCTCTTCCGTACCAAGATTCTCCTATCTTGATAATTCTTCAAGATATGTTGTCCATAAATAGCCACAACACAAACATTCTAGCCTTCCTATAAGAACAGTAGTACCAGAAAAGTACTCCCTGAAGCTCACCCAATAGACTAGGGTGCCTGCTCGTATACCAATTGAAATTTTCTGATACAGGAAACACATGGTAATATTGATATCCCCACGTCAGAACAATGTCAAGACATATGTTACAACATCCAATTTGACATACTGAACATATTTATCAAGATGCAAGTGATACTGAAATTAAATTGCAGAATGATAAACAACACATAGAGTTGTTAACCCAATTCAGTGCAACTCACCTACTCTGGGGGCTACCAAGCTAGGACGAAAATCCACTATCAATAATATTAATTTTAAGCCTAAGCAGTCTCAGTTTATAACTTCTCGCTTAATCCCTACCCAGTGCAACTTCTACCCAGGAACCTCCTAGATATGAGAAATCAATATCTCACTCCATAAATCACCTCAATGATATCTAACAGTCCCAATCCTAGTGACTATATAAAACATAACTCAACAAGAATATTACACTTCCGATACAAAAATACTTAGTCAAGACTCTTGACTAAGAACAATACTAGGT